CCAATCTCCCCACACAGCACCACTAAGAGGCCCAAGGTCCTGGTTCCTCCTAGACACCCCTGTCTGGGGGAGAAAGGGGAAGAAGTGGAGGCTGTCCCAACTGCTGTTCACATGAGCAGGCCTCAAGGCTAATCACTCTGGAGAACAGCAGAGGGATGGCCAAAAGAAGCAGGAGCAGGGCTCTAAGGGCCTCAGATGGTTCCCCTTTGAGGTTAGCATGGAGAGAACCCTCAGCTGGGCCTGCATACCTGGGATGTGGTGCCTTTCTTTATTCCTTTTTTTTACAGTTTTTATTGATGGCCCCCCCCCCTTTTTAACATCATTATAATTTCCCCTGGTATCCCTCTCCCACCCAGAGAAGAATCCTCCATAACAAATAATATCTTTAAAGACAAAAATAAAAACGGGAAAAATTCAGCATAACTGATCTGTACATTAAAAAAAGTTTGAAAATAAGTGCAATGTATCCCACTGTGGACCTCCCACTCCTGCAAAGGCAGGGTGGGAGGGCAAGACGCACTTGGGGCTTTCAAGACAATTACTGATGGGCACAAGGGAAAAGGAGGGGCCATACCAGGATTCCTCTGCATCTTCTCAGTTTTCCAGCACTCTTGTAGCTGTTATCTCACTTTTATCCTTACAGCATTCCCATCAAGGCAGGGAAAGAGCTAGGATTATCTCCCTCCAGTTTTACAAGGGGTGGAACTAAGGGCAAAATAATTGGTTCAAGCTTGGACTCCAGACTGAGGATCAAACGAGCTAATACTGCAAAGCACTTAATATGTAACATAACATAATATCTGTGAAGTCCTTCCTCCTCCTCCTCCTCCCTCCCTCCTTGCTTCCTTGTTTCCTTCCTTCCTTCATTCCTCCTTCCTCCTCCCTTCTTCCTTGCTTCTTTCCTTCCTTCTCTTCCTCCCTCCCTTCTTTCCCTTCCTCCCTCCTTCTTTCTCTCTCTCCCTCCCTTCCTCCTTCCTTTCTTCCTTCCCTCCCTCCCTTACTCCTTCCTTCCTTCATTCCTCCTTCCTTGCTTCCTTCCTTCTCCTTCCTTCTCTCTCTCCCTCCCTTCCTCCTTCCTTCTCTTTTTCCCTCCCTTCCTCCTTCCTTCCTTCCCTCCCTTACTCCTTCCTTCCTTCATTGCTCCTTCCTTCTCCCTTCTTCCTTGCTTCCTTCCTTCCCTCCCTCCTTCCTTCTCTCTTTCCCTCCCTTCCTCCTTCCTTCCTTCCTTCCTTCCTTCCTTCCTTCCTTCCTTCCTTCCTTCCTTCCTTCCTTCCTTCCTTCCTCCTCCCTCTTTCTTTCCTTCCCTCCCTTCCTTCCCCGCCCTACCATAGATGCTCTGCTGACCCTCTTGCTGCTTCTCACAGAGGACATTCTGTCTCCCATCTTTCTGCCAGGAGGGACCCTGGCTGTCCCCATGTCTGAGATGTGCTCTCTCCTCCCTCTCTCTGAGAACCCCTGGCTTCCCTCACGACCCAGCTCAAACTCCACCTGCCAGAGGAGGCCCTTTCCAGCCTGAGCTGGCTACAGCTTTGCCCTGGAAGACTCCCTTCCATCTAGGGAGCACACATTTGTTTATTTCCACTCTGTCTCCTCCATTAGAACGCACGCTCCTTGAGACTGTTTCGTGCTTGGCACAAAATGAGCACTGTAATAAGCACTCGCTGATTGACTGATTCTTCCCAAGGATGTTTGGAGGCTGAATGGAGTCTACAAGGGAGGGTCCCCCAGCTCTCCAAGACAATCCAGTCATTGGGATGTCTTAGCTCCAGGCCCAAGGATTCCACAGCCCCATCCCCTCCCATGAGGCCAAGGCTGAGGCCCCCTGCCATCACCCTCTCTCCTAGCTGACTGCTGCTGCAGTATTTGAACGCACACTTCTTATCTTTCCCTGGCATCCAATCTGCCAGCCTCATCACATTGGTAACCAGAGCTCAACAGGAACCAGGAACACACGAGATCACTTAATCCCCAAACAGCCAGAAATTCCCTATCCCCTGTGCCCTAGGGCAGGGACAAAGAAACAAGGAAGGACTCATTTCCCCATGAGCCTGTGTGTGTGTTCATACGGGTGTGCACGTGTGCATGGGTGTGTGTGTGTGCGTGTATGTATACACAAGAATGAACACAACCTGCCCAGCACCAATAGTATTCTCATAACCAGGAAGTGTGAAGAGAACATTCAAACCATCTGGCAGGGGGGAGGTAGAAATGAGGGGGGAAGAAACCATAAAGTGTCATAAGATAGAGGAGAAAAAGGCGGCCAACGGGGTCTGGTCTCCTTCCCCCTTAAAAGCACACAACCCACCCCTTACTCCTGACCTGGCCAATGACACACAAGCTCTGTGGGCAACAATGGAGGGAGATGCCCCTTTTCAGTTTCTAGGTCCTTTCCCCCCGCTTATGGCTAGCTGCTCTGGCTGCCAGGGTCTTGGCTAAACTTCTGCAACCTGCACCATACACCTGCCCATTTCCCCTTACCACAGATAGAGCCAAGCAACCAGTGACTGGGGCTGCTGGGCTGGAGAGAGGAAGAAGGATGAGGCAGTGCTCACTTGTTCAGGGCTCTGTGTGTGTGTGTGTGTGTGTGTGTGTGTGTGTAAGAGAGAGAGAATGTGAGAGAGAGAAGGGGGGGAGGGAGAGGGGGAGAGACAGAGAGAGAGAGAAAGAGGGGGAGAGGGAGGGAGGGAGAGAGAGAGGAGGAGAGCAAGGAACAGGGGAAGCGGGAGGGAGAGGGAGTCACTTGCCTCTGCCTTAGAGACACTTGAAATGAACTAGGACAGTGGCCTCTAGCTCTTATGGGGGGGCATGAGGTAATAAAAACAGGAAATAAAACCACCTCTGGCCATCTGAAAGGGCCAGACAAGTGGAAAGAGACCTGTTGGCAAATAAGAACTGGGCGGAGGACCGACAAGTGATCCCTTTGGATAAAGAAGTCACCGTGTCTCCCTTCAGAAAAAGGTCATGTGCTCAGAATCAGACCAGCCCCATTGACACTGTCACCTCCTGGTAGGCCTGAGGGACTCTATCCAAGTGGGACAGATCAAAGGACAGGGTGACGGATCTGGAGCCAGAGAACCGGGCTTTGAGTTTGGGACTTTGGGTGAAGCCCAAACAGCCACAGGGTCAGAGATCTGGACCAGGATGGGACCTCAGAAGCCATTGAGTTCAACTAACTAACTTCCTTCCTTGTTTCCTTCCTTCCTTCCTCTCTCTCTCTTTCTCTTCTGTTTCTCTCTCCTTCTCTCCCTCTCTCCCCCTCTCTCTCTCTCTCCCTCCCTCTCTCTCTCCCTCCCCTCCTCCCTCTCTCTCTCTCTCTCTCTCTCTCTCTCTCTCTCTCTCTCTCTCTCTCTCTCTTCTCTCTCTCTCTCTCTCTCTCTATATATATATATATATATATATATATATATATATATATGTATATCACATAAAAAAACTTGAGGCCCAAGGAGCTTAAATGACTTGCCCAAGGTCACTCAAGTTGACTCACAAATGGCAATATCTGAGCCCAGATCCTCTGACTCCAGAGACAGTGATTTTGTTACTGTGCCGTGCTGCCTAATGAGCCTCAGGTTTCCTCAACTGTAAGATAAATAAATTTGGACCCAAGTCCCTCCCAGTTCTATGAAACCATGGCTTAAGCAGCATGAGAAGCAGTGGGGGAAATAGAGAAGGCCCTGCTTAGGCCTCAAGAGAGGCCTGGGTTCAAATCCCACCTCAAACACTACACTGCGGGACTCGGCCTCCATCTAGAAAATGAGGGGGCTGGACTCAATGACCTCTGAAAAGCCCCTTGCAGCTGGAAATCGATGATCCCATGAAAACAAACTCTAAGGGCCCCTCTGGCAAACCAACGTTCAGAGAAGTCTCCGGGGCTCCCCAAGCTAAGAGCAGTTTGGACGACACTGGCAGCCAGCACCTCCGTACCCACCCTTGTTCAGCTATGCCGTGGGGCAGATAGCAGCAGCCCCCGTGACTCCCGGGGCACCCTCCTCTCAAGCACCCAGAGAGCATACAGAACAAGTACCCGCTCTGTTTCCTCATTAGGAACCGGCGCCTGTCGGTCTATTTCTACATTTGTTATCTATTATCACTATTCTTTTGGTCATCACTGTATGTCTTACACTGAAAACCCCAGAGGCAGAGAATGACTTTGGCCTCCATGATTCTCCATGGCATCCAAGCACAGCTAAAACACCTCTTTTAGTGCCCCCGCCACCCATCAGTATGGACAGGGTGGTGCTGTGGATGGTGAACTGTTGTCCTCACGACTGAGCTCACACACTGCTTCTGACCTTCATGGGCTGTGGGACCAGGCTGCTAAACCCTGCGGTGCTCTGGGAAATGCTCGAAGATCATAAGTTGGTGTTCAGTGATAGAGGCAGCAGCTCCCAGGGAAGACATTTCACCAATGAAATCACTGGCCTGGTACAAAAACCAAATTAGGATGGTGCCTGTAACTTCTTAAAAAGCTCTCCTAATTACTAACTCATCTGGTCATCACAAGTAGACCGGGTGAGTGTGGGCAGCATCCCCATTTAGAGGTGAGGATGCACGGGCACTTGGAGATGAAGTCATTTACCTAAAGCCCCAATGGGCAGTGGGTGGGCGGGGAAGAAAAGGGCAGCCAGGCAGGCTTGCTGAAGCCTAGGCCACTCCTCTGGTTCCCCCAAGCCTCGGAATGGGCAGCCTGTCCATCTGCTGCAGAGCCTTGGCTCAACCAGAGAGAGAGACCTGGCCCACTCACCCTTCCTCTCTTTTAATCAAAGAAGAGCTTGGCTTCCTAGGGCTGGGGGAATGAAAACATTGGGGATATAAGGCACAGGCCCATTCTAGGTGTGTATGGAACTGGCCAGTCAGACAGAGAATGATGGTGACTCACGGGGTAGAGAAATGCCTCTCCTCTCTCCCTCTCCCCTCTTGATGCTACATTCCATGTCCAAAAGCAAAGTAGCCCAGAAAATCCGACCGCAGAGGGACCCAGAGGACCCCAGTGCACTCACCAGCAACAATGCTTCCAGCTGGTTGATATAGATCTCTTCACTGGCTAGGAATCCTGAGAGAACCAGCTTCCTCATTTCCAGCCCTTTCCCCGCCTCCACCTGAGGAGGAGAAAAAAATAAACAACACACCGGCTTGTGAGTAGAAAGGTTAAAAAAATCATCAGGCAGCAGGCAGTTTCCCCAAGCTGATTCCTCGAGATGTCCCGCTCCAAGGATCCACATCCTCGTTCCCCTTAAGGTTCCATTCCCATGTGGATGCCAGAGTTTTCAAGGCTCTGCTTTGAACTGGGCTCAGTGAAGGAACTGGGTGACTTCATCAACTTCTGAAGTTAAAAAAAGGAGCAGGGATGAGGTGGCATTAACTAACCCAGGGCTGGGCATGTCACTCTTCTAGAGTCTCAGTTTCCACATCTGTAAAATGGGGATCACAGGACCATGGACTGTTGCGTTAGCTTAGTCCAAAGCTCAGTAAACTATGGCCCTTGGGCCTGGTTTTGTAGGGCCCCCAAGAGCTAAGAGTAGCTTCTAATTCTGTAGTTTGCTGAACCTCGACTAATCCAATTCCTTCATTTTACAAGCGAAGAGACTGAGGCCCAGAGAGATGAAGGGACTTACCCAAGGTCACACAGACAGTCAGTGGCAGTCAGGATTTGAACCCAGGTTCTCAGACCCAAAACCCAACATTCTTTGGCCATATCAGGATAACAATAGTATGTTTAGAGCTGTTGTGAGCTCAAATGAGATCACGGTGCAAAGCACTCTGCAGATCTCACTTAACATGGGCTGTAAATGTTCACACCAGCTCCTGTCTCCACGCCTTTGGCATAGGCTGCTCCTCATGCCTGGAACGCGCTCTCTCTCCCAGCCTAGGAATGTTTAAGGCTCAGCTCAAGCACCACGTGCCCCCCACTGCCCCAGGGCTTTCCTGCTCTCTGCCCACTGCCAGGACCACCATCATCAATGGTAGTCCGCTTGATTTTATCTTCTGCCTTCTCAGGGTTGTCTCCTCCATCAGAAAGGCAGTTTTTGTCTGTCTTCGGCTCCCCAGTTCTTAGCACAAGTGGTCAGGGCTTAATAAAGGCGTAGTTGTTTCCAGTCCCCTTCCCTTTTGAGGTTACCTTCCACACTCGTCAGGTGGGTACCTGGTCATTTCTACGTCTTCTCCCCAGTTAGATCGTGAGCTCCTAGAGGGAAAGAACTATTTTCACCCCTTTGTATCTCTAGCATTTAGCACAGTTCTGGAGTAAGCACTTAAAAAAATACTCCATCAATCATTGTTAATAATAACAATTCAACAACAATCATAACCTTAGGGGCTATATATTTGAGCCACTGTCTTACGATACTGCTACGTAGTTATGTGGCTAAGAGTACCAGGACCCAGTCAGGGGTCTAGAGCTATTCCCAATTGGCCGGGGCAGGTGAAGTGGGATTGAGAAGTTGACCATCAAGCCCACTCCACAAAGCTGAGCATCGGTGTGATGGCACATTGTGGGGCCCTCCTGAATGCATGGCTTCCCCAGAGACAAAGGATAAGCCCTGAGCCAAGAGGCAGCCGGGCTGCCCTCCTGGGATCCTGAATCAGGATGCTTGCTTTCTACTGGCTTACATTGTGACTAATACGAAGTTAATAAGAACATTAATCTATTAATCTGAACATAGCGATATAACATTAATAATAAATAATACTCTGTCCACAGGAATGATTTCACCTGAATTCAGGCAGCATGATGTCATGGAGAGAGTGCTAGGCTGGGAGTCAGGAAGACTCAGGTTCAAATCCTATCTCAGACACTTACTAGCTGTGGGACCGAGGATAAGTCACTTAATTTTTCTATGTCTCAGTTTCCCCATCTGTAAAATGATGGCTGTAAGGTCCTCTCCCGCTCTAAGTTCCTAGGATTTTATGAACCTGAATCTCCCGGGTCCTTCTACCCTCCAAATATCTCATTCTTTCCCATCACTAAAAAGGAGTCACTTTCAGTTGAAATCAGAAGTGGTCAGTGCAATGGGAATCAATCCACAAACCCCACAAAGGGTACCAGGAACTTAGACATAATAACTAGGGTCACTGGGTCATAGGATTAGAGGCCAATGAGGTTTATTTAGCCCAACTCTCTCATTTCACAGATGAAGAAACTGAGTGAGGCCCAGAGAGGGGTGATGCAACCCACCCGAAGCTGCTGCTTGTGTGGTTGCACATTAACACTAGTTATTCTGGGGAAGCCGAGGTGTCCCAGGCGCCAGCAGAGTGAGCAGGTTTGGAATCAGCAATGATTAAGAAGCCTTCTGATTCAATCAATTTCTTTTTTAAAGACTTCCATTTCCAAAGGCAACTTTCAGGTTACTCGGTAATCAGTATTTTATTTTCACATTTTCCCCTCACCGGGATGATTTTCTAGGGGATGTTACCATTAAGCACAGGGAAAAGAACCCTCAGTTTGTAGACAGAGGACCTGGATTCAATTTCTGCCTCTGCTATTGACTACCTATATGACCTTGGACAAATTTGACTTCACTGGGCCTTAGCTTCCTCGTCTGTAAAGTTAGGCCTCTGAGGCTCCTTTCAGGAGCCTTTGAGATCTGATCTCAAATACACCTTGTGGTCCTGGCTTCCCAGGTCAGGAAAATTCAGGGGCAGAATATCTGATGACTCCTGATCTGGGGGCCTGAATTCTTTTTGGAGGTTACGTCTGGTGAAGTCTGTGGGCCCCCTCTCAGAAGCATATTTTTAAAATGCATACAATAAACCACATAGGATTACAAAAGAAATCAATTATATTGAAATACAGTTATCAAAAATTTATGGGCTCAAGGTTAAGAATTTATACCTTGCAGGGTGGAAGGGAAAGAGCCCTTGGAACAACTAACATCTCTGGATGAACCTTAGCCAGTTGTCGCATGCCAAGAAACGGTAATGGTCTCTCCACAGGGACGGCTCTCACTCGTCATAAACAGACCCCCAGTGAACAGTGTCACCAGACCCCCTCAAAGCGTAGGGTTCATTCTTCATGACTCCCCAACCCAAACCACCTCCCAACTTCCAAAATGGCATCCTCGGGGCAGCTAGGTGGTGCAGTGGATAGAGCACTGGCCCTGGATTCAGGAGGTCCTGAGTTCAAATCCGGCCATAGACACATAACACTTACTACCTGTGTGACCCTGGGCAAGTCACTTAACCCCATTGACTAGCTTAAAAAAAATGGCATCCTCCTCTGGGAATTGACAAGACTACAGCTTTGGCTCCATTCAGCTTCCTGCTTCCTAGGCAAAACCTACAGATAAATCCAAAAATCCACACCACTCCTTCAGCCTATGATGTCTATCATTGTTGCTCTTGTCATTAGAGTTGGCATTAAATAGGCCTATGGATAAATCTGAACATCCATACCACAATCATCATCCGTTATACTGACTAGCATTTACACAGTACCTATGATGTGCTAAGTGCTTTACAATTATTATCTGAGTTGATTCTCATAACAAGCCTGAGAGGTTAAGTGTTATTATTATCCCCATTTTACAAATGAGGAGACTAAGGCAAATAGAAGTTAAGTGACTTGTCTACGGTCACACAGTTAGTAAGTGTCTGAAGCCACACTGGAACTCACGTCTTCTTGTTTCCAGGTCTAGCGCTTTATCTACTGTGCCATCTAGGCCACTGATCCCTGGCTGAGCTCTGGTGTTTTTCTCAGAAACCATCTGATTCAATTATAACCAAGACAGGCAGGCAGTCCTCATTCTAAATATGATGAAATTCGCTGCCAGTAGGCTGGTCATGACATAATGAATTCTTCTCCCATGGCAACCCATGAAACAATGAAAAATTTTTAAATAGTCCTTAGTCCTAGGAGGCCCTCTTCTATTTCCACAGTGATGGTGGTGAAACAGTACAAATAACCCACTTTTCTATGAAAACAGAGGCAGTATGGTATGTGGAGTGGCTAAAAGTTGGCCTCAGAGCTGGGAAAACTGGGGTTCAAGTCTTGACTCTGACATGTCCTGGCTGTATAATCCTGGCCTAGTCACACCTCTGCTGAAATTCTCATTCTGAATGTATTAATGTAATTAAGAGGATGTGCCAGGCCCTACACCTTTATCAGGTGGGTAAATTCTGAGTTAAAGAATCAATCAGGGGCAGCTAGGTGGCTCAGTGGATAGAGCACCAGCCCTAGAATCAGGAGAACCTGAGTTCAAATCTGACCTCAGACACTTGACACTTACTAGCTGTGTGACCCTGGGCAAATCACTTAACCCCATTGCCTAGCCAAAAAAAAAAAAAAGAATCAATCAAAGGTGTAAACCAAGCTATAGGAAGCAGAATATCAGGGGACATTTGGCTAATTTCATCTTGCACAGCTCTAATGAGCACAAACAAAAACACCCCTGAAAGGTAATCACAGCTCAGTCACCAACATCTATTGTGGAACGTAGAGAAGAGAAACTCTATGAAGTCCACCTTCATAGATAGAGCCCTGGGTGTCAAGAAGACCTGAGTTCAAATCTGGCCTTAGACACTTACTAGCCATGTGATCCTGGGCAAGCCACTTTACCCTGTTGGCCTCAGTTTCCTCATCTGTCAAATGAGCTGGAGAAGGAAATGGCGAACTGCTCCAGTGTCTCTGCCAAGAAGACCCCAAAGGAAGTGACGAAGAGTGGGACATGACTGAACAACAAACCTCTACTCTTTGATCCTCAGTGACATCTACGAGAAGCGGAATATAAAAGGTGGGGCAAGAGCTTTCAGAAAATATATTTTGAGACATGAAAGAAAGCAAAACGACTCAGGAGCCTCCTATAGCATGAGCATTTTCTTCCAGAAGAGAGCTGGAAGGCACCTAACATTACAAAAAATGAAACTGACTCTAGCCCAGCAGGCAGGAAACTGCTGATGATTATTAACATCAGAGTCACATAAAATCAGCTGCCTGGGTACTGTCAGCCCATTGACTAGTCAGAGGAAAGGTCTGTCAGCATCTAATTAGGAAAGGGGCTTGAGGGTGAGAAGGTACCGTGAACAACTGTGTTCTAACCTCTCAAAGGAACCTTCGACGTGGAAACGTGAGAAAGTGGAGAAAGAAAAGATGAGCACCTCGATG